TACATTTATTGCTCTTTCATTCTTCAATGACATATTCAATAGGTTCAGAATGTATGACTGGCTGTCATTTTCTTTAATTAAGCCCTCTAAAAATATCAATCCTTTGAGTTCCGGTAAGATGGCAGAATAGGCAGAAGGACTGCACAGACCCTCTTCAACAAAGAAAGGGGAACCAATTAACACAGATACAGAAGATAATCCTGAACCCCTGAGCTTTGAAGGGAAGGATATAGAAGTGGACTAAACGCCAACTAGCAGAAGAATTTGCATGAAAATACCAAAAAAGGAGACATACCACGCTGCAGTCTGGCAGTGCTCCTGACGGCACAGACAGCTTGGATATAGCCTAGTGGTGGTGGTGGTGGTGGTGGTGATGGTTGTTATGTGCCAACGAGTCGGACCCAACTCACAGCAACCCCTCCTTGGGTTTCCAAGGCAGTGTCAGGCAGTTATCCCTACAGAAGGAGATCCCCCAACCTTCCTTACAAGGAGTTGTTGGTGGGTTTGAACCACCAGCCTTTTGGCACTACGCTACCAGAGCTCCTTCGAGTAGTGGTAGGACCTAAGAATTCACCTAAAATCAGGCCTGGTAGCCAGAGACTGCACAGAGGACTGCTCTGGTGGCTAGGGAATAAACGGGGAAGCAGCAAAGAGAAAGATGGGCTGAGCTGTGGACTTCTGCATGTCTGGAAGGCACAGCCATTTTGAATGTTTACAAGTGGCTTGACCATTTTGGATATTTAAAGCAACAAAAATATCAATCCTTCGTCTATTGACACTTCTTTCAATTGAAAAGCTAGCTGTCAGTCTTAGCATTGCTCCTTTGTTTATTTTATCTCTGACTACTTTGTTTTTTTTATCTTTGGTTTTGTTGGGGTTATTTTTGTTTTGTTTTTTAAAGTCTTATTGTGGTGTTTTAGTATTTATAGTTTTCTGTGTATTTATTCTGCTCAGGGTTCATGCTGTTTCTTGAATCTGTGGCTTTTGTCTTTGGTGTATTTTCTACAATGTTAAGCTACTATCACTTCAAGTAGCTGCTTCTTCATTCTTTCCTCTTCAGGAATTCCAATTGCATATACACTGTATCTTTTCACTGTATTTTATCTCTTAAACTCTTGTCTTGTCTACACATACCATCTTCTTCTGTGCTTTGATTTTTTTTTCTTCTGACCTCACTTCAAATTCACTAAATTTCTTTTCCATTTCTTCAGTTGTGTCTAATCTGCTATTAAAACCCACTGAATTCTTAAATTCAGATATATATTTCAATTATAGAAATTTTCTTACTAACTTCTATTATCTGCTCAAATTGTTTTATTTTTTGTTTAACTACTTGAAATTAATAAGCATAGATATTTTCAAGTCTATATCTGAAACATCCATTGACTGGATCCTCTGAGCCTATTTCCATTATCTGTCGTTTCTCTCTTTTTTTTTTTTTTTTTTTGGTTATGATAATCTCTTTTTACTCAGTCACCATTATATACAGAAAATTTTAAAGAATTTGAGATTCCAGATGTTCCCTTTCTCTAAAGTGATTCCTGCTTCTAGCTTGCAGATAAATCAAGTGTACCAGCCATCCCAAATCACCTTAATCCATGAGAATTGAGCCAATTTGAAACTGGGCCATAGTTTCTATAAAGACTGCTTTATTTCTGATTAATCCTTACTCATAAGATGCAATTCTTCTGGTTCCCAACCTCTAGACCAAGGTTTTTGCCAAAATCCTTCCTCCTCATTGGACCCTTAACTCTAGTTTTTATCATTCTACAATCCCACAAGTGTGTCTAAAATTCTGCTAAATTTCTCAGCTACCTTTTAGAAATGGCAAATGTCTCCAAACACAAGACTCCCATTTCTGAGCTATTCTTTTCTATTGGATCTTGACTCCATAATTCCTCATTATCTTGGTACCATATGTATGCTTTTGTTTTGTTTTCCCCAACTTTTCCTACCTTTTCTAGTTGTTCTTAAAAGACAGTTGGTCCAACCCAGTCAAACGCTGATCTTTCATTCCTGAGGAATATTCATTTGTTGCTCTCTTAGACAGACAAAAGACTACCTTCTGATTGTGACCTGGCTATGGCTTATTGCTAACATTTCTCAGAATAAATATTATAGTAAGAGACACTGAATAGTGCTAACCTTAAGAAAGGTGTATACTCAAATATCAAAAGCAAATATTTTTAGATGGTATGATTATGAAAGTTTCTTATTTTCTTATTTGTTTTTATCTGTTGTCTAATAATCTACAAATAATATTACTTCAACAACTTTTTAAAAATAAACTGAAGAGAAGCCTTTATTGAAAATATGGCTTCTATATATTAGTCACAATGGAAAGAAAGAGCATCAAAAAGATTATGTACAAAAATTATGCATTCATAGCTGGCTCTGAACTTTGACGCAAACACAGCTGAATCTTCTGATAGTATAAATTTTGATGCATTCAAGTAGATTTTTCACAGATGCATTTTTAAATATAAATACATGAAGACCTCCATTACCAAAAGAATGAATTTCAGGGAAGATCAGAGCTCTACTCTCACAATGAAGAATTCTACAATGGTTTTAAGACAAACAACCTGTCGAATTATCATTAAGCATTCTCATTTGCTGCTACACTTATAAGTATGTATCAAATTACAAAACGTCAACTCTGGAACCTGTCTAGAACTTTAAAATTTTCACACTATAAAACCCTCCAAAGAAAAGATATAATACCCCTTACATAAAAATAAAAGGGCAAACCAAAAATCTTGATAAAACAGTATCTCAAATTGTAACTGTCTTCATTCCAAATTAGGTACTCAGTCTCTATTCTTTGTGAATAATACTGACTGGAAGAGCTGAGAAAGGTCACTTTTATTACAGATTGTTTTGTTCCAAATCTGTTCAGAGATCACTTAATACATGTTGTTGTTACATGCTGTTGAGTCAGACCCGACTCATAGTGACCCCTCCCTGGGTTGCCCAGGCAGTATCACTGCAGAAGTAGTTTGCCCAACCTTCCTTCTGAGGACTGGCTGGTAGGTTTGAACTGCCAGCCTTCTGGTTAGCAGCCAAGTGCCTTAGCCACTGTGCTACCAGAGCTCCCAATCAGAGACACCTAGGTGTCCTAAAAGGCCTTAAAAGTCATTTGGTAATTTATTTCAACCCGCCAAACTGTAATTTTCCAAAAAATAAGATAGCACCATGTATTTACAATCTTTAATAAACTATTATACATAGGCAGTAATCAACCCACCAACCACTCCTCGGAAAGAAGTTTGGGTAATCTACTTCCATAGGGATAGTGCCTCAGAAACCCAAAGAGGGGTCACTATGAATCAAGTCTGACTCGACAGCACATAATAACATAACAGAGAGAGGAGGAGCCCTGGTGGTACAAACAGTTAACCATTTGGCTGTGAACCAAAAGGCTGGCAAGCTGAACCCACCAAGGATGTCTGTAGGAGGAATATGTGACAATCTATTTCCTTAAAGATTACAGCCAAGAAAACCCTATGGGGCAGTTAGTTCTACTATCAGGCAAAACTGAATGAAGGCCACCTAACAATAAATAACAACACAGAGAGACCACTAAACATTCTGTGGCTTCTGATGGAAGAACATATGTTAATGTGGTCAGTCAAAGTGTGTTTGTTCCCCAGACTGGCAGTATAGTCAGCAACTGGCAACTTGTTTGAAATGTAAATTATCAAAGTTCTACCCCAAATTCACTGAATTCTATCTTTGTGCCTGGTGCCTAGCCATCAGTGTTTTAAACAATCCCTTGAGGTGCTTCTTATGCATATTTAAGAGAACTACTACTCTAAATCCAAAAACCAACTTATAGAATATATAGAACAACATGTTAAACTACTCTACAAAGATTAGGAGCTCTGGTGACCTAGTGCTGAAGGCATTTGACTGCTAACAGAAGACCGGCGGTTCAAAATCAGAAGCCACTCCTCGGAAGACTGGGCAATCTACTTCCATAGATATAGCTACCACCTCAGAAACCCAAAGAAAGGTCGCTGTGAGTCGGATCCAGTTCCTATTCCCCAGAAAGTGCGACAGAATTAAAAAAATACAATAAAATTGGGCAAGGAGTACAATTTATGTATATTAGCTTTTTTTAATTTACAGCAACCAACAGCAACCAGCTACAAGGTGTAAGATTTGTTTGGCTCCTGATTCAAACTAAATAAATTATGCCACTCAGGAAACAATCAGAAATCTTGAACATCAACAAAAAAATAAGTGTGATAAAGGTGTTGTGGCTGTTTTTGCAAAAAACAATCTTAACTTTTAGAGAGGCATATTTAAATACATATAGAGAAAAAAAAAAAAACAGCATGAAATCTAGGATTTGCTTTCAGGACAAAGTGATGTGATTATGAAAGAACTGGTCATGAGTTCACTGGCCATAGGAGTTCATTATACTAGTCTGTCTACTTTTATATATGTTTAAAATAATCCCCCCAATAATATAGAAAATATAAAAACACTTCAGCAAATTTAATCAACTTGTCAAGAGGCACAAGTTTTACAATAGAAAAATAATTAATCAATCACCAATTTTAACTGATGCTCATCCAGTTCAACCATAAACTTCAAGGAATTTGTAAGTGATTCATTTTCTTATAAAGCTCTAACTCCATTAGATTTTTATTATATCACCCTTTCACTTACTGTCCAAGTATGCTAATTATAGTTTCTCTTGATTACTAAATTTAAAATGTTGTTGTTGTTGTTGTTGTTATTGTTATATGCCGTCGAGTCGGCCCCGACTCATAGCGAACCCTCCTTGGGTTTCCGAGGCAGTATCACTATGGAAGTAGGATTGCCCAACCTTCCTTCCTAACTCAACGGCACATAACAAAATTTAACTATAAATTTAAAATAGATAATATAATTACTAGGCATCTTACTATTTCTCAACTCTATATAGAGTTTTAAAGGAAAAAGGGATGGCATTATATATACACACATGCACATTAAAGTTAAAAGTTTACCTGTAAAGATGTAATTGATCCTGTGTGTCCTTGGAGCACAGCAACTGGGGCACAAGTTCTTAAGCACCATATTCTAATTATTTTATCACAGCTCCCAGCAGCAATCATTGTATTCTCATAGTTTACTGCCATATCTGAAATTTCTGCAGAATGACCTCTTAATGTGGATAACAGGCGGCCATTATGTGTTGACCAAATCTTTACCAAACAATCATCTGACCCCTAAGAAAAAAAAAATCCAAAAATGAATCTGTATCTACTAGTACACCAAACCTTTTAAATACTTAGAATCCTTTTACACACCACCCAAACAGTAACTCTTCCTCTTTCCAACTGTTCAATATTCTACAAATTTTAAGAGTATTTGTTTTCAGAGCAAAAATATTCTACCTAAGGACACAGTAAAGTTACAATCCCCATAGGTCAGATGACATGACATTATTTTTCCACAAAATTCTATGCCAAATAATAAATCCAAGTAAAAATTCACGGCTCACCTATTTCAATTAACAATGGTTAAATGTTAGTTTAGTTCACATCAAATTTAATAATCTGATGAGCATTAGGATAGACCTATGTTTTACAGGCTGAGAAAGAAGTGATAATCTCCCAAAAAATAAAAAGCGGAAATAGCACCCTCATTTTAAATAAACACAAGAGTGTCAAATTTATAGTACCAACCAACATCCATTCATTGAGCAAACATCTGAGTACCTACTATGAATCTCACACGTGGAAAATGAAATTTAAACTTCTTACCCATATTAATTTTTCCCTAAAGCATTAAGATGATATATTAAATTCTGTATTTTTTAATTACTTGGAAACCTGAAGTATTTTTATAATCAATCATTTTCTCTGACCACTGATGAATGAATATGAATAAAAATGATCTGAGTAAGTTCTTTTTAATTGCTGTTAATACACACATGAAAAGTTACCTATTGCAGTAAACCTAGAAAAAGCTAGAGGGGATGTACTAAATGTGCATACATGTGTGTATACATACATATATTATTTTTTTTTTCTTAAAGTACCTCTGATGATTATATGCTTAAGAACCACTATTCTAAATCAGTGTGTTTCCAAACAGCACACAATCCCAATTATCTATATAGGGTTGAGGCACTTTGGACCCCACGTCAGACCACACTGAGTCAAAATCCCTGAGAACAGGAAATCTAAAATCTATGTTTTATAAGACTCTCTCTATGACATGGTGAACACTATAATGAACACAGTTGTTGCTGCTGTCATTAGGTGCCAATGAGTCATCTTGACTCACAGCGACTCTATGTAAAAGAGAACAAAATACTGCCTGGTCCAGTGCCAGCCTCACAATCCTTGCTATACCTGATGATGAACACTAAAATGCCCAAAATTAAATTCAAAATGTTAACTCACTGTAAAGATTCTATGTCCTGTTCTATCAAATGCTACACAGTAAACAGCAGATAGATGTCCGAGAATCCTCCTGTGCATTTTTAAATGCTGATACATAGTTCCTGGAAATGTTGTGCTAAAAGTAGAACACCCTGTGAGTTGTCTTCCTCGATGAACCTCCACTAGGAAATAAAAACAATGGAAAAGGTTAAGGGGAAGCCTAAATTTAAAGAGCTAAACAACAACAAAATATTTCTTTTGTTGCTGTTGTTAGGTGCTGTCAAGTAGATTTTTTGATTCACAGTGATCCCAGGTGAAAGAGAAAGAGAAAAACAATTTCCAGAAGGTCACAAAATCTATGTTCTAGAAATCTTCAGGACAGTTTCTTCCCAATTACTATACTACTATAATCAGTAATAACCGACTTCTTACTAAGACTATTTTTTATTTATGTCTGTGTCTTTAGGAATTATTTATTTAAGAAAACAAAAAATCTGAAATTTGATCTGTTACCACTGAAACAAAAGCACCCGTATTTACTATTAAATTTTACTACAGCACTTATAAAGTTGGTCAAGAAATTAAAAGGATGGATTTGAGCATCTGAAAGGCCAACCTCACTTACCAAGATTAGGTGGGGAACCATAATTCACGGGCATTTCAGGAGGTCTTCCTCTATGAAGAGCAGCAAAGGCAGAGCCCTTCCAAACTGTGTGCCTGCAGTCTTTAAAATGAATTTTAGATACACATAAAATCTTGAAAGTTAACCCCAAGAAAAATTTTATAGAATACTTACGTATATTGTAATAAACTGTTTATTCAAAGTTTTACCAACTAATATACTTTAACAGAAAAGCCCTGAAGGTTTATTAGACTATTTCTGAAGAAAAAAAAAAATTTAAGACATCTCAGATACAACAGCAACAACAACAACTAACATTTGTGCAGCACTTTACAAGTTACAAAGTGCTTTCCACATACATTATCTCATTGTATCCTCACAACAACCCTGTGAGGTAGGTATTATTACCAATTTTTAAATGAGGTAACTGAGGCTCAAAGGTTCCAGGACCTTTAAAGAGATCCACTGCAAATCATTAGTGGGGATGGACCATAAAAACAGATCATGACTCAAAGTTCCAAAGCATATTTTTATTTTTCTGTGCAGAAATAATCACACCTGATCCAACTTTCCAAAATCTAAAGCTTTTGTTAAGAGAAATTTATTTTCTTTGATTATATGAAAAGTCTTAACTTACGTAATTAACTTATTTAAATGGCTTTCAGTTTTTAAATTAATTTGACCAATATTGTCATGATTTCAGTCTTCTTAAGAAGTATTGACAAAATAAAAGTATGGCTCTCCTCTTGCTTGAGGATCAGATGATTTCATTTATACAAGAGCACATATGTAGGATCTGTGTGTCTGTACACAAATCCCAAGATCCCATGACTCCTCAACCTACCAATAAACTTACTAGGAAAACTTGTCTGCCCTTCTCTGTAGGAGACAGTAGCAGAAAACAGGTTATGAGCAGTCATGCTGTGCCAGAAATTAGCTTCTTCATAACTGAAAGAAGGGAGGGAGGGCATCATACTAAACCTCTACTGAGCCTCGGGTGCCCCAAACTAACAGGTATGTTTTACATTAATGCATTACCACTATTATGATCAAAGAGTAGTTACAAGGCATCCTCTCATGTCACTAGTACAAAAAAGAAATATAGCCCCTACCCTAGGGTACCTTGCTGCATTTTATCAGTGAAGTCTTCAAAGGTCTGCCCCTTCTAAAGCAGTGCTCATCACAAAACAACCACATTGAGCGTTGACACAAGTAAAGGAAAACAGGCTACCCAAGAAACTACTACATAACAACCTAAAATAGAATAATTACAAGGTGAATAAGGACACAAAGAAGAAGAATATGAACAACATCCTGAATCAAACCACAGTGCAGCATGGCTATAGAGCACAAAGAAACAACTAAATCTGACAAACCAATCTGGCAGGGAACTAAGAGGGAGGGCTGCTCTTTCTTAGTCAAAGCCTTACACTAGTGTGCATCTAACAGGCAGCATCACATCAGCAACAGCTCTTAATAATAATCATCACGGGATGAACTTCACGTATGCTCAGGAGCAAAGAACCAACAATCACCCATTAGCAGTTTAGCCACGTTTTATACATAGGTCATATCATATACATATACTCAGTCTAAGTCATTTATACCAAGCTAACAGGAAAAGAATATCAATTCCAATCATTTTGCTACCACATAACTGTGAAAAATTAGGCTGGTAAAAAAAGAACCATGCAATTGTACATTTTTGATGCATGTTTTCAAACTGCTATCAAATTTTTTAAATTTCAGAATCTAAATATCAAATTAAATACTTCTAGCATTTAAAAGAGTTTATTAGACACATACAATTACATTCAGTGAAGTTAAAACTGAGCTACAAAATGGAAAATTAAGAACTCACATTGATAAAACCGCAAACACATCTCAGAATTCAAGATTTTTGACTTAACAGCTATACCTTTATCATTTGTTTTAATGCAGAAAGACTCATTAACACTTATTTAATAAAATTCAATATTTCTATGCTAAATGCAGAGAATTTTATAGTCCACAGTATGATTTATAGTTACATATCACCTTGCTTCCACAATGCTTACATTACTTCACAATCATAATAATTATCAAGCTATTAATACAAAGCAGAACACTTCTTCAAATTAAGGTACCTTTTGCTGTACGTAGCAAAGACTGCCTTCCTGCACCAAGTAAAGAAGTCACTCTTGAAATACTGGGTGGAATTTCTTTATCCAAAATAGGACCGATGCGCTGACAGATTTGCAACAGATGATCAGGAGCCACATGCTTATTGGACAAGACCTGGTTAGAGAGGAAGTTTTAAAAACAATACTTGTTTACAAAAACATTAAACACTTAGGGATAAATCTAACAAAACATGTCAAAAACATGCACTCAGAAAAGTACACCACACTGAGAAAATAAAGATCTAAATAGGTGCAGAGAGGTATCTTGCTCATTGATCAGAAAACTGAATGTTTAACTCTCTCTAAATTGATATACACTTACAAAGCAATCCCAGTCAAAATCACAGCAATCTTTTCCATCAAAATTCATTTTTTGTGAAAATTCATACTGAAATGCAAATGACCTAAAAAAAAAGCAGAGCAACTCTGAAAAACAGTTGCAAAGCTAACATCATCTGATTTTAGGGATTGCTATAAAGCTATCGTAATCAAAATAGCACACTAATGGCATAGACACAGAGATCAAAGGAACAGAGTCCAGAAGTAAATCCACATATATAAAAACAAATGATTTTTGACAAGGTACAAAGGCAATTCACTGGACAAAAAGACTATCTCTTTTTTGACACTTGAACAATAAGATAACCTCTCGAAAATTCAAAAAATTGATCTATATCTGGTACCACAAACAAAAGTCAACTCAAGATGGATCACAGATCTAAACATATAACCCAACAGCATAAAACTTCCAATGGGTTAGATAAAGACTTCTAATATACAACACTAAAAGCTCAATCCAAAATATTGAAATTGGTAAACTGGAATTCATCAAAACTAAAAATTTACTTTTAAAAAGATGTTAAGATCACAGGGTAACCACAAAGAAAACTGATAAACCTTCACATCACAATAAAAAAGAGGATAAGCACAAATATTTAGCAAATACTACTACAAGAAGAAGAAAGGAGACAACACGAGTCATTTAAAAAAAAAAAAAAAAAAGCTAAGCAAAGAAAATTACATGGAACCAAGAAAGCAGGAAAACCACAAAAAAAACAACATAACAAAATGACAACAATAAATTCTTACTTGTCAATAATTACAGTGAATAGTCAATGGATTAAATGCACCACTCAAAAGATGAGAGTTGCAGAATGGATAAGAAAACATAACCCATCAAAATATTGCTACAAGAACACACCTTACAGACAAAAAGAAAAATAAACCAAAAATCAAAGGTTGGAAAGAGATACATCCAGCAAATAGCAACCAAAAAAGAGCAGGAATGGCAGTGTTAATTTTGGATAAAACTGACTTTAAGACAAAAACCACCATAAGAGACGAGGAAAGACATTATATAATGATTAAAGGCTCAATCGAACAAAATGATACAACCATAATAAATATCTATGGACCCAATTAAAGAGCCCCAAAATACATAAACCAGACTTTAACAGTACTGAAAAAACAAATACATGATTCCACAGTCACAATCACCAAACCAAACTCACTGCCGTCAAATTGGATCCAACTCATAGCGACCCATCCTTGGGTTTCTGAGGTGGAATCACTATGGAAGTAGATTGCCCAACCTTCATCCTGAGGAGTGGCTGGAGGGTTTGAACTGCTAGCCTTCAAGTTAGCAGTCAAATGCCTTAGGCACTACGCCACCACAGTCACAGTAGGAGATTTTATACACCACTTTCAATGAAAGATAGAACAACTGGAAAGAAACTCAACAACGATGCAGAACTAAACCATACAATCCACAAACTTGACCTTACAGACATCTACAGAGCACTTCACCCAACAGCAGCTAATTATATACACTCATTTCCAGTGCACATGGAACATTCTCCATGACAGACCACATGTTAGGCCATAAAGCAAGACTTAATAAATTTTTAAAAATTGAAATACTGTGCAAAGCATCTTCTCAGATCACAATGCTATAAAGTCAGAAATCGACAACAGGAAGATCAACAGAAAAAGAGCAAACTAAGAACAACTGGGTAACAAAAGAAATAAAAAACAAAACTAAAAAATTCCTTGAATCAAATGAAAATGAAAACACAACATACCAAAATCAATGAGACACAGCAAAAGCAGTGATCAGAGGGCAATTTATACCAATAAATACACACATAAAAAAAGAACAAAGAGCCAAAATCCATACCTTAACCCAACATCTCTAACAATCAGAAAAGGAACAACAAGAAAAGCCTACAGTTACCAGAAGAAAGGAAATAATAAAGATTTGAGCAAAATAAATGAAACAGAAAACAGACAATAGGAAAAAAATGATCAAGACTAAAAGTAGGTTTTTTGAAAAGATTAATAAAATTGACAAACCACTGGCAAATTTAACAAAGGAAAAGAAGAAGAGAATACAAATAACACGAATAAGAAACAAACCAGGTGACAACACAACACAACCAACTGAAATTAAAAAAAATATAGGAATACTATGAAGAATTGTACTCCAACAAATTTGAAAATCTAGGAGAGATGGACCAATTTCTAGAAACACACTACATACCTAAAGTAACACAGCCTGAGGTGGAAAAATTGAACAGACTAATAAAAAAAGAAGAAATTGAACAGATCATAAAAAAAATTACCAACAAAAATAAGTCCTGGTCCAGATGGTTTCACAAGAGAATTCCACCAAACATTCAGAGAAGTAACACCAATTGTACTCAAACTATTCCAGAACATAGAAAAGGATGGAATCCTCTCAAGTTTATTTTAGGAAGTAAGCATAACCTTGACATCAAAAGCAGGCAAAGACATAACTAAAAAATAAAACTACAGATCAATATCCCTCATAAATACAGCTGCAAATATCTTCAACAGAATCATAGCCAAAAGACTCCAACAATATATCAAATATATATATATATTATGATGAAGCACAATTCACATCAGGAATGAAAGGATGGTTAAACACTTGAAAAACTATCAACATCATCCACCACATAAATAAAACAAAGGAAAAGAACCACATAATCATATCAACTGATGCACAAAAGGCATCTGTTAAAATCCAACACCTATTCCTGATAAAAACAGCAAAACTGGAATAGAACGGACATTCCTCAACATAGTAAACGGCATATATGCAAAACAAACAGCCAACATTTCCCTCAACAGAAGAGACTAAAACCATTCCCTTGCAAATAGGAACTAGACAAAGATGCCCTCTATCACAACTTCTACTCAACATCGTATTGGAAGTCCTAGCCAAGGCAAGAAAGGGAACTCAAAGGCATCCAAATTGATAAGGAAGAAGTCAAACTATATCCCTATTTGCTGATGATATGATCCTACACCTAGAAACCCTAAGAGATTCAATTAAAAAAAAAAAAAAAAAAACTACTGGAACTAATTGAGAGATTTAGCATTGTGGCAGGATACAAGATCAACATACAAAAATCAGTTGGATTCCTCTACACCAGTAAAGAGATTGCTGAAAAAGAAATAAGAAAATCAGTACCATTTGCAATACCTACCAAAAAAATAAAATACTTGGGGATCAATCTTACCAGGGACACAAAAGAGTTATATAAAGAAAACTACAAAAGACTACTTTAAGAAACCATAAGAGATCTACATAAATGGAAGAACATACTAGGCTTGTGAACAGGAAGACTGAACATTGTGAGAATGTCAATACTACCCAAAGCAATCTACACATTCAATGCAAGCCCAATCCAGATCCCATCAACATTCTTTAAGGAGATGGAAAAATCAATCACTGATTTTATAAGGAAAGGAAAAAGACCTTGGATAAGAAAAGCACTATTGAAGAACAACAACAAAGTAGGTCTCACACTCCCAGATATGAAAACCTACTATACATCCACAGTAATCGAAACAGCCTGGTATTAGTACAACAGACACACAGAGCAGTGGAATAAAATTGAGAACCCAAAAACTAGATCCATCAACCTACAGTCAGCTGATCTTTGACAAAGGGCTGAATGCCGTTAAATGGGGAAGAGATTGTCTCTTAACAAATGGAGCTGGGAAAACTCGATATACATTTGCAAAAAAATGAAACAAGATCCGTACTTCACACCATATACAAAAACTAACTCCAGATGGATTAAAGAATCCATCTGGAAGAGGAGCTCTGGTAAGATGGCGGAATAGGCAGACAAGCCACAAAGACCCTCTTCAACAAAGAAAAGAGAAACAAATTAACAAAAATACAAAAGGTAATCCTGGAGCCCTGAGCTTTGCTATATACAAAAGTGGATTTGGCACCAAATAGAATAGAGGAAAAACCTGAATGAAACAGTGAGTATGGAGACTGTCAGAGCCATGGTCTGTCAGCTACTCTCACCGGAACAACAGCCTAAATATTTCTAGGTGGTGTTAGGATGTGAAAAATTGACCTAAAGATCAACCCTGGTGTCCTAGGGCTGCACAGATGACTACACTGGTGGCCTATGACTAGGAAGGGCAACAGCAAGTAGGGAGATAACCTGAGCTGTGGAATTTCGGCTGTCCAGAGGACGCAGACGTTTTGATTGTTTACAAGCTGTGGCCATTTTGCATATTTAAAGTGACCCAGGGTGCAGCCATTTTGAATGTTTACAAATGGTGCCAATTTTGGATTTTAAAGTGACATCATTCTCATTCAGATTCCAGGCACCTAAGAATAGGCTCCGTTTGCCAAGGACAGCAGGGACATACGGGAGGCTGGTAATGGGAAAGAAGACAGGTAGTGAGCCTATAAGCACTGCCAACTAGTGAATATAGGCGCACAGTACCCTGCTTACGTAGATAAAATCCAAAGAAAATGAAAATTGTGGGCAAGTTACCCCAACATATAATCAGCAATTAAATATAAACACAAAAAACATCACAATGGCTGAGACAACAGAGCATCACAGTCCACCAAAAGCAGCAAGATAAAGCAGGAGAAACAGGGACCAGGATACAGACACAGAACACATCCATGGGGAAGAAGCAGCATTGGAACTCCCTGATAAGGAATTCAAAAGAATTATATTTAGGTACCTTCAATGGATGGAGACAGATCAAGGAAAACACTGACACAATGGAGGAAAAGACAGAGAAAACCCTAGCACAATTTTGAAAGACAAT